CAAATTAAATTTAATTCGTGTCAATTTCAATTTTTTTTTTACTTTTCGCCTCAAAGAATTAATACAATTTCTATATTAATTTTATTTTTCAGTACCATTTTTTTTTAAATTTCAATTACCGTTGTTTTAAAATTACTTAATTTATAGTAACACGTTTTAGAACTAGAACAACAAGCAAAGTAAACACGTGGTTTCGAATCACTTTAGAACTTTAGAAATACTAATTTGGAGACGTAATTTGCCCATTCTGACACGCTCATGTTGATCAGAGATACAATTTGACAAGAGGAATAAAAAATAATTTAATATTACTAAACGCGTAATAAACAATATTTTTTCGTGATTAGAGCAAAATGTTTTTTTAAATGATAAGAGTAAAATTACGGATATTATCTTTGTTTGAAAAAACAGAATGTTCCATAGTTTAATTTGAGCCGTGGTGGCTCTGCGGATAGAGCGCTTGCTCTCGATAAGGTGACACGAATTCGAATCCCAGTGATGGCTGGGCGATGCGAATGCTGCAACCAGTTAGAGTCCCCATGCCGTTAGGCTAATTGTGGGAGGCTGTAGGGGTTTTCCTTTCCATGCAAAGCAAATGCGGGTTAGTTCCATCAAAAAGTCCTCTACGAAAGCAAATTTTTCCCAATGCTATCTAGGAGTTCCCTTGTCCTATGAATTAGGTTCAAAATTACAAGGCTACGGAGTTAAACTTTAGTGGTTTTAAACTGAAATTCGGGTCTGCTGTTCAACGACAGTTATAAAATAAAATTTAGTTTAATTTAAAACAATAGCTAGAGCTAAAGTAATCGGAAAAATTTAATTCTTTCAATGTTTATCCAGAGCGATCTATTTGAATTTTTTGGAACAATATTTGGGAATGGGAGCCTAAAATTTATCCTTTCAACCACTATCCTAATGTCAAAACGATAGAATAAATGGTTTTCGAGTTATAAGAGAGACTTAGACACACCTACGAAGACAAAAACATGAACTCTTCATTTTATTAAAATAAACAAGCTGAATACCCGTTCTTTGTACGTGGTGGAAAAAAATCAATAAATCAGTATAGAACAACACTAAGAAATCATGGATGAAATTGAAAGATATATGCCAGAATAATTAATAAAACTAAAATCATTCAATTTTTTTCTATTTAAAATCATATTTTGTTCTTCCTGATGGCTTTACGTTATTAATTAACCAAAATGTTTTTTTAGTAATTAATCCTATCAAAGTAAAGATTAGCTGTGGCTCGAAGTAAGAATTTACTAGGACTAGGAATTATCTGAAAGCTAAGCAATTCTCTCCAGTAAATGTCTATTTTTTCCAGAAAAACCTCTTTCTAAAGTATCTATATTGAAACTGTACATTGCTGATGCTGTTTTAACATGTACCAAATGAAGTAATATAAAAACACATTGTCCCTGTATTAATATATTTGGAATCTGTTGAAACTGCACGAATTTTACCAAAACTAATTAAGCATCATAGCCGTCAATAATAGTATGTTGATTTTTTACGTTTCTTTTAAGCAAATAAGTACCATTTGTAGATTGATTTTGCTTTTAAGTTCATGGTTTATTTTTTAATTTTATTTATTTTCATAGTTTATTTTTTTTCGTAACTATTACTAAAACAATCATAAAATTTGTATTAAGTAGCTATTACAAAACATAATTAAGCATTACTGGCGTCAATAATAGTATTTTACTGTATCCCCTTAAACGATTAAGTAAATTTTCTCCATTAACTTTAATTTTCTGTACATAGATTTTTTTTAAAAATTTGATTCGAATTCATATCAAGCGTTAATTAAAGATTATTGTTTTTCAATAATAGTATGGAGAATTTTTGCGCCTCTCCCAAACTATTTGTACCATTTCTCCATTAAAGTTGCTATTTAGAACATAGATTTCTTTTTTTAGTTCCAAGGAGTGCCTATTATCGAACTTAATAAAGCTTCATTGGCATCAATAACAGTATTATTAAATTTTACGTTTCTTTTAAAAGGATTAGTACTGTTTATCCATTAATTTCAATTTTCAGTGTATAACTTGATTATTTTTATTTCAAAAACCTTAGATTTTAAATTATTTAGTTTCATTGAGTCGCATTTTTAAAGTATGACTAAAAACAAAATGAACACGTGGTTTCATATAACTTTAGAATTGCTAATTCAGTGACGTAATTCGTATCTGTCACCGTGTTCACGTTAATCGTTGAGTTTACACGATATAACGAATAAAAAACAATTCGATGTTAAGCAACGTGTAAGGAACTATAAGCTGGAAAACAATACTAATGTAATCATTAAAGTATTTTTAGAATAAAAGAAACAGAATCGTCTGCAGTTTAATTTATATAAGTGGTGAGTTCTAAGTCAGTGAAAAAATTCCATTTTTCAAACGTCTCTCGAGCGATCTTACTAATATTTTTGAACTTTGCCCCTTTCATCCACTGTCCAAATTTTAGGACAGTTTAGGAGTTATAAGAGAGCCAGACCCACGGACAAACTCTTCATTTTATTATTACAAACTAGAATATATTTTAAACTATTTTTATAAGCTTAAAAAGTAGGTGTTTTCTAATTATAAAATATGTCCCAAATTACTTTTCAAATTATCCTTGAAGAGAATATTTCATTTTCTAACTTAACCTTTTCTTAAGCATTTCTAATTCATTAACTCAAATAAAATTTTAATGACATTTGAATCATATATATGCATTTTAGATATATTCTTCAAACCTAACTGCGTATTTATTACATTTAAATATTATTCCTACATCCTTATCGTGTGAATTGATTTGGATTAAACTCATGGATTGTTTAATATTAGTCCAGACAGCATTATACTCAGATGACAACGCAGGCTATTTAGTCCTAATTACACTTACGGTTACGACTTTGAAAGATAATTATGTAAGTAGGGATGTCCGTTCAAGTTTCAATGCACTCCTAAGTGTATTTCAGAATTTTACTCACTTTATATGACTTCAGAATAATTCTGTTCAGAGTAATCCCTTAAGATATTCTGGTCTTTAATTCGTTTTGAAATTTCATTACATTTGAGCAAATTATTGTAGCTTAAAAATAACAGATATCTTCATTACAAATATCCAGTCAAACTTGTAATCTCAAAATAATTGTACCATTTAAAATGCTCATTAGTGAAGAAAATAGTTATATTTTCCAGGAGTGGTGCAATTGTGGTTAATTAGCGCACATTTTCTCAAAATTGCTTAAATATAATTTAATTTTGCAGCAATTTACATCTTAATAAAAAGTAACAAGATTCATATAAAGAATTATTTGATTGCTTTACTATATTCTCCCCAAATTTGAAATTCAAAAAATTCACTATGTATGCTATTAAACTATAACAATATATTTTCATAAATCAATGAATTTTTATTTAACATTTTATCACATTTTATCATGACATTATTTTTTCGTTTGTCTAAAAATTACCAATTTATTTATGAAAGTTTTTGTCTACCTATAAGTGATGCAATTATTGCTGAGTAACAAATATTTGAATATATTTAAAATATCAGTTTATCAGACCTTAATATAAAGTAACCTTAAACAAATAAACAATTTTACCAATATTTTATCTTCCATAAAATTTCAAAAAATGCTACCATTGGACTAAAAGAATATATTTTTCAGAATTATATAATATTTATTCCACATTTAGACGCTGCGAACAAAATTCGATTAAAATAACCTTTAAAAGCTTTATATTTTATTTGCTTCTATTTGCAATATTTTTGATGATCTTATCTATTCTTTTTTGAAATTAGATTTGAATCTTACTTTAAAAAATATAGTTCTTAAGAAATTAGGAATGAGATAAAAATATTTTTAAATTGTATTTTTTGTTCTTACTCCTTTCAGGAACTAATCAAAGCAAAAACTTCCTGACTTTCCGTTTTATTTAGTTGCTATGTATGCATTGTCATAAAAAATTTTTATAAGATTTAACTCCTTGAATAACATTTGATCAGATGATCCAAATTTTACGTAGTAAAACTTAAAAGGCACACCAATTTTTACTACGTTTTAAAGAATGTAAAACTAAATGAAAAATTCAAAATTTGAACGAATTCAGTTGAATAGTTTCTGAGAAATTGCATTTTAAAAATGTCAGACACTATTTAATTTAATATGACAAAATAAAATTTAAGCAAAATCAGTCGAATAATCTCTGAGCAATCGAATTTTAAATATACTACTTTTTTTTAAAATTCGATTTCTCAGAAACTATTAGACCAATTTTGCTCACATTTTGCATTTTGCCATGTACAGTTATTTTCTTTAAAAATATGTGAAAAAAGTGCACCTTACAATTCAAAAATTTTTTGACTATTATTAAATAAAATGATAAAAAAGTAAGAAATATTTATTTGAAGATATTTTTTGCATGGAATTATGGAAAGTTATTTTCTTTAAAAATATGTGGAAGAAAGTATACCTTACAATTCAAAAAATTTTCGACTGTTATTAAATAAAATAATAAAAACGAAATAAATATTTATTAAAAGTTAGTTTTTGCATGGTGGAAAGTTATATTTTTTTAAAAATATGTGAAAAAAAGTACACCTTACGATTCACAAACTTTTCGGCTATTATTAAGTAAAATAATAACAAAGAATGAAATATTTGCTAAAAGTTATTTTTTGCATGAAATTACCCTTAGATAAACTAATCTTATAATTGTGTGCAAAAATTTTTCAATTTGATATAATGAAGATATAATGAAATACGCAAAAAATAATATTAATATTAAGAGGTCCAAACTATTGTCAAAGTTATTTACGCATTGAATTTTATTAATCACATTTAAAATCTGTCCGGCAGCCATTCAATTACACAAAACTCCGTGAGTACAATCGTTAAATCAAAAGTCATTCAAGATAGTTCGGTTACATACATTTTTGTGCACTGTACATCATAGTTTATAACTTCTAATGTATGTAATTTATAATTTCTTTTTCAGATGTGATAGAGTATAAGAAAGGCATGATATTCAGATTTGAATGTCCTTCTACATGAACTTCTTTTATTTAAAATATACCTCCTCTTCTATTTGTTGGAATTTTTATCACTTGAAAGCCTCATGAGAGGAGAATTCTTTATATTTTTGAGTAAGTATTTTAACTTTTGTTTCATATATTTATAAAGTTTTTTATAAAAAACATTATATAAAATAGACGTAAAGATTTAAAATAAAACATGTATGAAGTTTTATATTAAACAATAAAATAAAATGTTATATTAAACATATAATAATTTTTAATTGTTTTTTTTCTTTATTTATTGATCATCAGAGTATAAATTTATTAGTTTTAAGTTATGAAATTTTTTTTCAAAACAGAAAAATCCATGAATATTTTTCTTTAAATACAAAACTTTAGTGTTCAGTTTTCACCAAAAAGAGCTTCTTTGATTTACTTTTAATCCATAGAAATATTAAAAAGAAGTTTCTTATTACAATTTTATTAAATTATTTTCAAGCTCGTTTTAAAACCAAGGAAAAAAATTTTAATGGTATTGTTAAATGATTTTTTTTTAAATGTCGTTGTTCATAAGGAGATATTTTACTAGATGTTTCCTGGCGATCTTTTAGTAGACGTCAATGCAACTTGGCTTATCCACATTCCATCAATTATGGTCATCTATGAGATATCTATATCACAACTACCATGAATAATCCATAAAGAAAAACGTCAAGCAATGATCCATGTTTGATCTACGAAGTTTTCTGGACAATGAAGTAAAAATTTGAACGTCTAATAGATGAATTGGCTTGTATGATTTACAACCAAAACAGCTCAAAATTGTCAAATTATTGCAATGTATTCATAATTTAAAAAATACCGGTTTAATAAAGATAAAACAATGTGTGGAAAGAAATGAAATAAATTAATGCTTTTATTTTAGAAACTTAAAGAGTTGTCCACAAAAAATTCCGATTTCAGTATTTCAAATAAAATTGCTCATTATTAAAGGATAAATTAAGGTAAGATTAAAGAACGACAAATGTACTGAGAAAACAATGTACTGCAGAAAGGTTTAGGAAGCTCATTTCATGCTTATTACACAGTCAAAAGCCACTTTTTTGCTATTCAATTATTCGATAATTTTTCCGTTCATATAATAACGATGTACCGGAAATTCTGGCTTCAAAAAATTATAGTTGTTATTACCACACATTTAGTAAAAAAATCAAAACTGAAAAGTAAATTTAATCGATTAAATAATTTTTATGCCATGTTTTAAGATTATTTTCAAATTTTACCACACATTATAAAACTATATTTATTGTTAATTTTACCAAAATCTTCAACAAAGTGTTTCGGTAAAAATTACCGAGCTTTTTGTTGTTCCCATAGAACTACAAACGCGGTGAATTTAACTATATTCTGGTAGTTTTGGCCATACATTTTTCCTTAGTGTGGTTTTTCAGTAAAAATACAAATGTTTTTTTTTTGTAAAATATATATGTTACAGGATTGTGCCAGGACAGTTTAAGGTTTATTTACATATCTGTGAATGCCTTAGGATAGAGGGATATAATCCAAATTTTAAAAAAAAAATTACCCAAACCACATTTAAGTAGACTGTGTGAAATAAGTTTCAACTGCAAAATAATTATAAGACCGGAAATTGCAGTAAATATGACTATAAAAATATAAATCTCCTATATAACTTAGTTTGAATCTTTCTCAGAGAAAACAAAATCAGCTTAAAAATCTAAATGCGATGAAAACGAGTGTTTATAATCATAATAACAATGAAATAATAGTAAATTATAATTGTTTTACAAGCTAAGGAATTTATTAAGAATAGAAATCTGTAATTAAAATTCCTTTTAAAAAAAACTACTTTTTTATAATTTTTAAATTTCTACGACAAAAAATTTAAGTTGTATTTGAAACTTTATTTATAAATAGTTTAAAAATATGCTCGTGAAAGTACTTGGAAACTCAAATGTAAAATCTAAAATTGTTGATTCTCAAGAGTATTTATCCAGAAAAACATAGCTTTAGAGCATGAGTAAATCTTTGATCCTGGAAAAATGCTTCTCTCTCGATGGAAATGTAAGCAAGCATCACAAATAAAACAACAAGAAAACGGGTTATAAAAAGATTATTAATAAAACGCAGACTATTTCTTAAGAATTCATGAAGTTTTATGAAACATCAGAAGATATTTAAATGCTCTAATATTTTTTTTACACATAAAGCATGATGACATATATATATATATATA